GCATGTCACAGCTGCAGTTCACATCAAGAACACTTTAATAGAGATATACATGGACTCCTGGGTGTTTGTCCACCCTTTCCTTTACCACTTTTTGGACAACATCCAGCTGTTTACCATCACAACCCCCTGCTTGAATTTATCATCCATTCAGATCTGCCAGCAGGAAAACCTATACAAGTTCTCCTAAAGCTGACTCATTCAAATACGATAGTCTGATTTAGACAACTTAAACAGAAAACATGTTGACCCAACAGAATTTGTTTGAAATGGTTTAGTAAGCCTTCAGATGAGTAGGTGCAAGTGCAGGTGCAAAGATGAAAAATGGAAAAATAAAGAGGAGTTTAGAATATGTTCTAGATAATTTTCCTTTTCGACTGGCACACTTAGATGCTGCAGATTAAATTTGTTCTTGAATTACGGCGTGTTTTTCCTAATGCTGAGGAACTGACTTGAACTGACTTCTGGTTTGTATTTTGGTTCATGCAGGAAGGGCCACATCAATCGCTCTTGTTTCACACCGTGTCCTAGGTCTTAGGGCCCTCCACTGTGTGATTCTTATCTTTGACTGAAGACACACCCAGGTCAAGATCTTGGGTCACTTTTAAAAGCATTTGAGTAACACCATGCACCACCCTTCCTGGGAGTTTGACATGCAAGCACTGGAAGGAGTTTCCTGGGTCACAGGTTCCTGCAGGTTTCCATGCCCTATACCCCAACCAGAAATTCATGAAGTTCTTCTCTAAAAGTATTGCCCTCTCCTCACTCCAGTTTCTGCAAGGACCACATTCTGATAATCAGAACCCATCCGTAAGTTTCCAGCCCCTGTAGCTGTAGGCTGAGTCTTTTGGTTATAACATGTTTGTCTCATGAAGGGAAGTGTTAACCCAGAATCCAGAGCACTTTGCTGGGTCAGAGATGTCCAGGAGAAATGTATAACTCCAGCATTCCATCAAAAGGGAGCATCTCCCTGGGCAAGTGGCTCTGATGCGTTAGTGGGACTCCAGCAAAGCAACATTATCCCGGGAGACCATGGAGCTCATATCCTGGAGTGCATATCACTGCTGGCTACAGCTGACACCACCCCACACAGATCCCCAAGGAGTTATAACAACACAGTCCTGTTCTTGAACTCACCATTTCTTCATTGTGAAGACCACCAAAAAAAGAGCAAAACTCTCAGTAACTTTTATATTAAACGAAAATTGAATCTAAAACAACAAAAAAATCTCAACAAATAAGAAAAAAACCTGAAAAGCAGAACTAAATTCCAAATCTGCAAACTCAGTTTCAGTATTCAAATGCACTTACTCTGCCAGGAAGGGAATCCTTCTCAGCAAAGCTGTTTGAAAAACTGCCCAGCATTTCCTTTCTATTTTGTCAACATTTAGCTACAGTACAAAATTGGCTTAACTATATAACGAGGAAAACAGTTATTTCAAGTATTACACTAAAGATAAAATGCATATTAACATTAATGCTACCTATTAGTACTTTGTAAATGGAAGGTTATTTGCCCTCTGAGAAAAAAACATTTCAAAACCCAGCTAAGGTAACCACATAGATTTAATAAAAAAATCAAATAAAATCTTAATTGGGCTTGGAACTTCAAAAAAGGGGAAATATCAAAGTTAGGCTACATAAATTAAACATAAAAAATACATCTCATTTACTAGTAATACTTTGCAAGACTGTCTGTGGAGTCATAAATTCAAAGGATTTAGCATGCAGATAAGAAATAAAGAGGAGGGAAGCAGGTAGATTAACTGTAGTGGGAAAGCCTTCCGAAAGTAATTCAGGATGTGTTCTGCCTAATACCATTGAAAATCTAAATGAGAACTCTTTAAACTGTAGATGTAGAGCCAAGTCCTGGTGTGATTCACATTCTAACTTCAGACCTCACATGCCATGCTGAAATAGATAAATCTTGCTTAGGATAGCAAAGGAAGCTCAGTTTGGTTCCCTGACACTGGCTTTTTTAGAAATTTTGGTAGGAGGGAGGGAGGGAGGGAGGGAGTGAGTGAGTGAGTGAGTGAGTGAGTGAGTGAGTTAGGCAGCAATGCTTTGTAAAGTCTAGTATTAACAGGCAGACTCCCTTGTTTGTCCTTCATTCAGTACCTGAAAAATAAAACACAGTGCAAGAACAGGATAAAAACACCAGCTATAGAACTGACAGCCAAGGAAGTATAGCAAGATGATTTGCAGTTGTCTGCTTAGTTTTTATAGAAGTATCACAGAACAGTTTGGGTTGGAAGGGATCTTTGCAGATCATCTAGTTCCAACATGAACATCAGTTCAGTCATGAACTGATTATGCTTTTTCTGGTCTGCTGTGTTAGTAGCAAATATTATACTCTCCAGCAGCACAAAATAAATTTTAGCCTCCCTTTCTATTTCCATAACATCAGGAGGAGCTCAACTTTTCTGGTATCCTGATGGGTATCTCTTGTAGAACATATTGAAGATAGAAGCTCCTGTTTACTTCAAGGGATTTGAAAGGAATTGAGAATACTTTGCCGCTTCAAGAACTGGGTCACTCATGAGCAAAACTTCATGCACTAATTCTCAGTGCAAAGCTGATTCAGTAGCTCTCAGAAGCGTATGCAGAATAAATGTTGCAAGATGAGGCTCTAATCTGAGCTACTTCTTTCCCGGGAAGAGGTAGAAAAAAACAGAAATAAACAAGTGATTTAAGCAGGGAAGAGTGCAGAACTGTTCTGATGACTGCCCCTGGGACAAGGATACAACCCCTATCCTACCCTATCCTACCGTACCCTACCCTACCCTACGCAATCCCATCCCATCGTGGTAGCACCTGCTACCCCACACAGCTGGACTGTTTTCATGTGGCAGCAGTTGTACACAGTCCAGTATTTCCAGACTGTAGAATAAGCAAAATCTGAAGTAGAATACTGCTTTTTGGCTGTTTTGGCAGTCAGAGAAGTCTGCAGCCTTATGAGTAATTGCTTTTCTCTAAGGTTAGAACAAGCCTGGCCTCTCCCATTTAAACAAACTAGGCATTTGGTGAAGTACTTGTGGCTTATTCTAAACATAAACCCTAAGTAACTGTGTTTGGTCAGTCCTGAAAAACAACAAATGCAGAACTGGATAATTTTGCAAAAGCAGGGATGTCCACAGAAGACGACCCGTTGCTGGACGTGCTTCGTAGTCAGAATCAAAAATGTCATGTAGCTCAGATGTTGATGCGCTTTCATGGTTAGCCTCAGTGGTTGTGAGCAAGATAAGGAACACTGACAGCTTTATATTTGCACTGAAAAGAAACTAGAAGGCAAGGTAGTGTGTTAGGCACTCCAGCATGACATGTTCAGTCTCCTTTACAAAGCTGTATAAATGGCATTTCTATACACAATCTATTTTGGTGATATGGGCATGAGGATTTGCTTTGCCTGTGTTGACTAGAAGTTCAGTCCTCCATGAGGAGCTGCAGGAAGTGTTTTTTATCACTTAGAGCATCTGTTTGCATCTGGCAAGAAGAAAAATTGTGCAACGATTGTGTTCCACATCCTCTGCTACATTTTGCAGATTTTGGATGCATTTTGGAGTCACTGTACAGGAGATAAGCAGATGGGTGGAGGGCTCTGAATTTCATGGTAATTTTGCCCTAGACACTGATTACTGCAAGATGGTTGAATATTTTTGCTGACCAGAGCAACATCAATTCTTGCACAATAGCTGCTCCTGGGTACAGTAATGGAGAATGATAATAAAAATTTGCTAACTTTGTTGCACTTCCTACTTGAAAATGTTGCACTTGACTGAGGTTACTTCAGTTCCACTTTTTATAGTTCCACTTATTCCTCTATCAAGCTACTTTAAGATAAAAGCAGTGTAAATGGAGGGTCAGATGGCCTCTTGCACTGAACATTATGTCCTCTTCTCAGTAACACAATGGGCTTGATGCCCATCCTCACCCAGAGTTTCCAGAGGCACCCAAGAGAGAACACTAAAATGCATCTTTGTTACCTTTCATAAACCCAATTTTCATTTAAAATTCAGCAAAACGATAATTTATTGTAAGTTGAGCATGCAACATATACTTCACATTGTGTTGAGCCTAAAACAGTAGTGACACAGTGGGAAACGAAGTAAACCGGCTGTGCCATTCAACATGGCCCATCCTGTCCCAGCGCGTGTTGGATGGGCGTCCGGCTCGCAGCATCACAGCTGGAGAGGGCCGGGCTTTTTGTCGGCCCTCCAACACTCGGAAGCGCTGAGAGTCTTTGTTCTACCTCAGGCAAGACCATGAGGTTTCTAACCAGAGATCTGACACCTCAACCTTCCTGCTCCTGGTGGCAGCGACCGACTGGGCGTGCTGTTTAGCAGGGCGGTTCTGCAGAGCATTTGAACGGGGGCAATTTAAACGGGTTTCCAAGCTCGCAGCGGGCGCTGCGGTGCCCAGCAGAGCCTGACCCTACGCCCACGCCCCGCACCCGCCAGCGGACCGGCATCACCGGCTGCCCCCGCTTAGCACCGCTTCCCTGTCCGCCCGCTGCCCGCACAGCCGCTTTAGCCAAGCCGGGAGCGAAGCAAAGCGGGGTGCACGGCGGCCGCCCTGCCCCGGAGGGGTCCGTGCGAGGGACAGGGTACCGAGCACCACCGGGCGAGGTGGGTCTCGCCCTCTCTACTCCGTGCCCCCCCCAGCCCGGCGGCCGAGGTGGGTTCCCGCGGCGCCGCCGCCGCCGCCCACCGTCCTCGGCGAGGCGGGTCGGCGGGGCCGGGGGGCGGAGGGGGAGCGGCGGCGCACGGCGGCGAGGTGGCTCGGCAACCCTCCCGGAGGAGCCCGGCCCACCTCTCCCGTGCAGGCACCCCCTCCTCCCCGCCCCGAAAGAGGAACTCCCCCCCGCGCAGCCCGGCCGCGGCGCAGGAGAAGCGGCGGCGGCAGCGGCGGCAGCGCGCCCGGCCCCTCCGCGCACCATGGCGGAGCAGCGCCCGCCGCCCGCCGCCGCCTGAGGCGCCCCGCGGCGCCGAGCCGAGCCCGCGCCCATGGCGGCGCCGCCGCCGCCCGCCCTCAGCTGGGCGCTGCCCCTGCTGGCGGCGCTGGCGGGCGCCACCGGACCCCAGAGCTTCGAGCTGCCGGGGGCCCCCATCGACAACATCGAGGTGAGCGGCGGCGCCGTGCTGGTGGCGGGCGGCAGCTGCCTCTACGAACTGCGGCCCGAGCTGCGGCCCCGGCGCCGCGTGGTGCCGGCGGCGGGGCAGAGCTGCGGGGAGCCCCCCGGCATGCGCAGCAACCTGCTGCTGTACTACGAGGAGGCCGGCGGGGTGGGCGTCCTGCTGACCGGCTGGACCCAGGAGGACGGTGCCTGCCAGGTGTGGGAACAGCCCTCCTACCGCCAGCGCTTGAACGAAAGAGAGGTGGTCAGTTGCCTGCCCGACGGCTCCACCGCCGGCGTCGTCTTCCAGCAGGCCGGCGCCTGGTACCTGGCTGTGGCGGCCACCTACTCAACCAGCGCTGACACGAACCACTTGCGCTGCGAGCCCTCCAAGTCCGACAAGGAGACCGTCATCACGGTGCGCAGCATGGTCAACCTGAAGTCCAAGGAGGAGCTGGGCATCATCAAGCGCAGGGAGGAACCTTTACACTTCGTTGACGCGCTCCAATGGGGAGATCACCTCTTCTTTCCCTACTACACGTTGAAGGCCAGGTCGGGCAATGACACGGAACCACCTAGCATGGCTGTCCTGCGCCAGCTGCCCCCCTCAGATGGTGGCCTTACTTTGCAAGGGCACGTTTATTTGGACTGCGGCTGCAGAAGCCTCATTGTTTCCTCCAGCCTTGTACGCCAGGGTGAGCGGGGCTGGTGGGTGGGTGTTTTCCGCCACAGCCACAATGCCAAGGCCTGGAACACCACTGCTGTCTGCATCTTTGAGATGGAGGAGATGAAGAAGCAAGCCTGTGCATCCACACACTTCAATATGAACGGGAAGAACTGTGTAAGTTTGGGCATCGTTTTGCTAAGCTTTCGTCTTGCACGCCCTTGTTGACGCTGTTTGTTGTGGCTCGTGTCCCTGTGCATGACTCGTGGGGTGTCCCTGACCTGAAGGCACATGAAGTTTGCGGGGAACTTCAGAACCTCATTAGGCTTTGCACATCAGCCCTGGTTCTCTCAGCCCTAGTGATTTCTCCAGCTCTTCCCGTTACTAAAAAGCTGATTCCTTACCAGATCCTGGAGTACTCCTCCCACCTATCTGTTGGAAAAGATGTGTCTGAGTGAGCAACTGAGGGCATCCTGAGTCAGGCTGGGGTCTTCAGCGCCTTGCTCAGTGCGTGCTTTTCTGCCTAGGATTAGTCGTACTTTTATTTTCTGTACAGCCTAGATAAAGCATCTCCTACCTTGCATTCACATCTCACGTCATTGCAGCTGCATCAAAAATGAAAAAAGGCCCATCAAATTGACTCCTGTGCACTGGGTTGTATGCATTGTTATCCCTATTGCTCACTAGTTAGCTGTGGTTGCTTGTTCAGTGGCAGGTGTTTCCCATGCCTCCCAGGATTGGCGTTGCTTGGGAGGGCTCACAGACAAGCCCTTAAACCCATACGTGCAGCAGACAGCAATAGGCGATACCTCTTTGTTGTTGCAGTGGTTACATTTTCACAGGCAGTGGTATCCCATGGAGATCCCCTGGTCAGCTACTTCAGTAACACTCTCTCTTTAGCTCCTTCCTCTTTTGAGGGTGAGCTGGGCACATGAAGGGTGGGATGGGCAAGGGCACTGGCTTTGCTGTGGCCTTGGTAGTAAAGAAATTAACTAAAAATTGAATTCAAGAGGTAAAAATGTAATTCAGGTGAAGAAGGTGCTTTTGCAAGGCCTGTCCATGCTTTTAAGTTACACTCAGAAGTCTTTTCAGACCTGTGGCAACAGGAACACTGAAAATATCAAGGAGAACTGTAAGGGATCAAGCCAGCCGTCATAAAGCAAGCCCTAAGCCTTTTGCAATTCCCCTACCATCCAGGGACTTTGGAGCTTAACCCGTGAATCCTTGCTGTGTTATGATGGGAGTTTGTTAGAAATTCATTGAAAGAAGTGCAGTAGCTTTACTGTCACTTGTTGGCTTCCCAAATGTAACTCATAGCGGATTCCAGTGCTGAGATTTTTTCCAAATTACCAGAGGGCACGTGTGATTCAGTCTGTTCATCTCCCTACTGAGTTGCGAGACTCTTGCCAGTGTTAGAGGACATAGTTGTGAATGAGAACCCCATACGTGGGTGAGACAACTGTGCTGAAGTAAATAGTGAAACTCACTACGGAGCCAGAGCCAATCCTTAGCTTTCCAGTGCTAGCTTATAGTTTACTGCATGATTTCTGTGCTCTCACAATGCAGATTTCCTGAATGAATTTTAAGTCTCATCCTGATCCCAAAATACCTATGTGCTTGTTGGAATTACAGTTTGTGTTGTTTGTTCCTAACCCCGTGTGAGGTTTATTTGCAAGGTGCTTTCTGAGCCTGCAAAACAAAATAGAAAAAGAAACCTCCCTGGGCAGTAGATCCTTTATAAACACTTTACAAAGCCCCATGCAAGAAATTTCAGAAAAGTCTCATGGATCTCATAGAGTAACATAATGCAGGTAAGGTGAGGCACATATTTCTGCACACATGGGAAGTCCCTGTCCCCACTGCCTCTCAGGGTTTGACTACGAAAAATCAATGATCCATTTGTTTCAGGATTAGTCTGATTCAGACCAGACCCCTGTGCCTCCAAAGTTACTTTCCTGTCCTAAAAGGCTCCCCCGCCAGGAATTTAGATTATATTTGGGTACAATGCTGAAATATCCCAACTTTATCAGTCATTGAAAGGATAGGTTACTTAATCTTATGTCCCTAACTATGATGATGTTATTAATCATGATATTTTGCAAAATAAATACAGTATACTACTGAAAGAAAAGTGGTATTTTAATATTTTGTGAGATAGCAGGACATCTGGATCCTCTGAAGTAATATGATCTATAACATTAAATGGCTAATTAGTTTCCTTTTTAAGCTAATTATATGTGCTTATGGTGTATAAACATTGAAATAAATGCACGGAGTTCAGCTTTAATATTTTTTTTTATACTACAGAAGGTTAGGCTAGGCTATTGCAGAGTAAGTTTGGAGATGACAGACCCATATGCTGCTGCTTCTGGGTTGTTTTAGACCAGATCCTTCTACTGTCTCTCACCAATTATGGGAGTCCCTGCAAACATGGAATATGCTCTTCTTGTACTCAGAAGCACACAAGCTTCAGAGCTGACAGGAAGATGGAGCGTGGCACATCCATCGATTTGCAGCTTGTTGAGGTGTGTGCAACAGCTAGCAGAAAGGAGTGCCTCACAGCACGGGACTGTCATGAGTACATTGTACTACCATGTGTAGGAATGGCAGCGAGCAACAGTACTTAACGCATGCTTTAAAGTCTGGTCCTTTAAAGACAGTGTTGGTCCTGGGCAAAAGAATGTGTTGCAGCTTTGTAAGTGCTTGGAGTGCAAGACTCGTCTGGTGCTTGTGGTGAATGGACCATGCTAAATATCAGTCTGGCTTTCGCATTGCAGATGCCACGTGCTGTAGGGTGCTGTGGGTCTTAGTCTTCTTTGCTGGGAGCACTTGAATGCTGGAGCTCAGGTGTGATGTGATGGGATACACAGGTCCCAGACACAGACTGTCAGTTTATGTAGGAATGGAAAATACAGGGATTTTTTTCACTGCAGGAATACAATTTATAGTTAGCGTATACATTAGGGAGTAGCAGCAGTTGTTTTCCTTTTGATCTTGTCATCCTTCAGATTTCTGTAATTTTTCTGATTACCTTTAGGCAAGACATCCTCTTACCCCTCTACACTCACACAGCTGCATGTGTTCGCGCTGTGTTGACGCTGTGTTTCTCAGTAGGACACTGCAAGAGGGACTTAGCCCTGGGATGTTTGTGGTCCTGAATTCCCTGCTATGCTACTGCTGAATGTTCTACTCTGAAATCATTCCTGTAAGGTAGTGAGCTTTCTGGCCCTAACCCAGCGAAGCACTTAAGGACATATTTAACATGAAGTGTATAAGTGGTTCCATCATCTTCATGCCCATGCATTTAAAGTTAAGCGTGAACTGGAGAACTGCACTGGGTTGGAACCAAATTGCTCTGCATCCTGTAGGAACTTACTGTAGGTGTATAATCTCTTTAGCTTTGCCTTACCTCTTAGGCTAAAGTTCATATTTGCATTAAGTTTTAATGCTGGATTAGAGTCTGTAGTTTAAAATTAGTGATTTTTAAGATCCTTGCTTAGCAGCTTTATGAAAAGTACGTGATTGCTGCAAATTCTGTGGAATTGCTGCTTATGAGAACTAGCTAATCCCATTTTTGTTTTGTGCAGTATATGTGCACAAAGCAGTTTGTCCTAGTTGGATGTCTTCATTCTGGACATATGCAGTACATTGCACCAGAGATATGATCCCTAACTAGCAAGAGGCAAGTGGTGTTTTAGATGAAACTACTCTGAAAAAATTTTGCAGTTTTATACTCAGCTTTTTTTCCTTTGATCCACACGTCTCTTAGTTTTGAATATATCTGCTTATATGCACTGTCAAGGTGTTTGTGTTAATGGACTCTCTGGCATAACCTGTATATACATAAGTGCACTTCTTCACAATTTCCTTAGTTAAGAAATGTAAACTTGCCAAATCTCATTCTGCATTTCTTTTCCAAAACCTGAGTACTAACAAACAGAGGAGGAATGCTAGAATTTGTCACAAATTTCCTGCTGTAGCAGCAAGTAGAACTTTAAGAAAGGCTTTTCTTCCCTTGTTTTGTAGCTGAATAGGAACTACTAGGATTTCAGATGTCTCACAGAGATCCTAGGATCTTGTAGATCACAGTCAAGTAGATGGGTAGGAGAGGTGCTCAAATTGGAGAACATCAGCAGGAGAGATATAGAGTGTTACCACAGTGGCAATGACAAATCTGAAAATTGGTTTTGCCATTAAAAAACTTGCATAGGAAGAAAAGGATTCCACAGTTTTTGAGGGAGAAAAATAAAAAAAAGTGTCAGGTATATACCTGTAAGGCAGAGAGAAGTTGCTATAGTTTATATTGTGTTCATTTGGCAAAGGCCAAGTAGTTGTGACAGTTACTAAATGATAAGCTATTTTGCTTGAATTTTCATCTGCTATTTAATACAAGTAAACATATATAACAATCTGTTTGAACTTCTTCATTTCTCAGTTGTTGATAAATGTAAAGGTTGGTATATTCCCCTTAATTTAACAAGCATGGTTTGAAATCCTAGGACAAATCTTAGCTGGTATAAGGTCTACTGAAATGAGATTCTGAAGTCAACAGAGTCATGTCAGTTTAATCACGGCCATTAATTTGCAAGAATGACGTGTGAATTTGTGTGGTAATTCATTCCAAAGTGATTCATGGTCTTTTATTTAAGAAAAGAATTACAGAGTTCTAAATATAATTTTGTATCAAAATTGATCCTGTAATTAATTTTCTAGTAGTAAAGTCAGTCTCCTGTGTATTACAGACTGCTAGTATTGCATCTGATATTTGATGGATTTCTAGAGTTAATGTTTCTGAAATGAATATTTCTGTCTGGTTTCAACGAGTTTTCAGTTCATCCCTGTTTAGTGTGGGAAGTAAGCCATGGGAGACTTGTCAGCTCTTGAACTCCAGGGATAGAGACTGCACAACCTCTCTGAACAACCTGTTCTGCTTGATTGTCCTCACAGTGTTGTTTTTTAATCTCCTGTCCACTAGAAACCTCTGCTGTTTCAGTCTGTGTCATTGTCACTTGTTATCTTACATACACCTCGGTCAAACGCCTGGCTCTGTTTCCTTGGTCCCTCTGAAATTGTCTCTTCTGTAGGCTTAACTAGCCCAGTTTTGGAAAAGACCTTTAAGGTCATTGAGTCCAACCATTAACTCAGCACTGCCAAGTCCACCACTAAACTGTGTCCCTAAGCACCACATCATCATCTACAAGTCTTCTAAGCCCTTCAGGTTGCTCAGGCATGATTTATCCTTGGTGAATTTATGCTGGCTTTTCCCAGGCGCTTGGTTTATCTTCTTGTGTCCAGAAGTGGTTTCAAACAGGATTTTGTACATGATTTTCCTAGGGACAAAGTGAGAGTGATCATGTGCAGTTCCCTAGGTAATTCTTGCCTTTTTTGAAGATGGGTGCCGTATTTGAATGTATTCAATTGGAGACTTCCCCTGATCTCCACAGCTTTTGAAATATGAGAGAATAACCTTTCAGCCTCATCAGACAGTCTCTCAGCATCTTCCTACAGATCCCATCTGTCTTCCCTAAAACTTCTAAAAGCTGAGATTTCTTGAGAGATCCCTGGCTTAATCTTCTTTCAGTACTTCTAGTTTCTTTCTCCCTTGAATTCTGTATGTACAAAGGACTGCAAGATGTTGCTGGTGAGTTCAGCACCATGTCTGCTTCCACTGTCAGTAAATCTCCTCATCTATTCAGCAACTGGTGTGCATTTTTGTTGTTTATTCTTTTATTGCTCATGTAGTGGTGGAAGTTTTTCTTGTTGCCCATAAAATACCTTGCCAGTTTCAAAACCAGGCGAGCTTGGATTTTCCTAGCACCTGTGTGTTCAGGCTGTTCCTCCTTAGTCACTTGTTCCTGCTTCCACCTCCTTTATACTGTTGTGCTGCAGTGTAGTTCAATCATGACTTCCCTATTTAGCAAGAGGCCATCTCCTAATACGTCTGCTTGTTCTCCTGAGTTTTGTGCTTGGAGGAGATGGTCCTGAAAGACCTACTAGCTTTCCCAAGCTCCATTTCCCTTCAAAGCTGCCACTCAGAAGATACCACAGACCATTTCCCTTAGCAAGCTGAAGCCTGGTGTCCAGCTCTGTACTCTGTTGTTCTTTCCTCAGGTCCTTAGGATCATGAACCCAGTTGTTTCACAGTTACTACAGTGAAGGCTGCCATTGATTATAACATTTCCAGTCAGTTCTTCCTTGTTTGTGAGTAGCAAATCCCTAAGAGCATCACTCTTCACTAACCCCATAGGATTAACAAAACCTGGGGTCCCATCTCATTCACTTTGCCCACAGAGGTTTGTAGTCCTCATTTGCACTAACCAATGCCTTTGGTGTCCACATGGATGTGCAAAAATGGGTAATGGTCCAAGGAATGGAAGATTACTGGCAGTCTCTCTGCAATGTAATGGGTAGGATCCCCTAAAAAAAAGGAAACCTGTTGCAACAGCATGACTGCTTAGCAAAAGTGTTCCTTCATCACTCACAAGAGGGAATCTGCAACTACAGTCACCCACCACGTCCTCTTGCTCTCTGCTAATGCTCTGTTCAAGCTTAGTTGGTTTCAAAGCCTTCCTTAATGGAGCTTGTTCTCCCTCATTGGTTATTATGATGCTTTCTGAGGGCAGAAAAGGACCTTTTCTGCTGCTGTGAGAAGCCACAGGTTTCTAGCTTTTCCATCTCAGGAGTCTCCATCAGCATCTTGCTCAAGCATGGTCTCTGACTGTCCCTCCTGCCTTGCATCATGGGCCTCAGGATCTTGCTTCTGCAAGGCCTCTCTGAAGACTCTGAATTTCTGGTCAACCTCCTTGATTTTTTGCAGTCTGCTTGCCTGGGCAGGTTTGTCCACCTAACACTGCTATGTAGTGCACAAATTAAAAATCCTCCTGGAAATAAAATTTTGGAACAGTTAGTGTCCTCACACCTTTGCCTGAATTACGGCTTGTTGGATGCACCAATATTTAAGTTTTTTCACCCTCTGATATCGTAAAAATTGATGCGGGTGGTTAAAGGATGGTGAAGTTAAGAAAGAAGGATGAGGCTCCAGAAGTTTCTTCCCCCCTAGGAAAAACATCTTTTGTATTGTTCCAATGTTGACTATTGCTATATGCTACTTACAAGTCTCATGTCCTTTTGTATAGCTGCATCTGTTCTTTTACTCTGATGCTCAAACCCTTTATTTTTACTCTTTGGACAGCTGCAGTATGATGAGTGCTGCATGAGCTAAAAATGCTGCCCTTTCCTCTGAGGCACACAATGTAAAATAATCAGGAGGAAACCAAGACAGAAAGTAGGAGTGTGAATATGGTTGCTGCAGCTGGAATCATAAGGAGATAAATCTGAAAATTAAATGCAAAATAGAAAATGAGTATAAATACCTTCCATGCCAATAACCAAACAGCATGGTGAGATGAACTTAAAAGCAAAATATAAGTTAATTCAGGAGATCTCTAGGCTTACCTGTGCATGTGAATATTTTGGGAGACTGTAGAATAGAACAGAGGATGGGACTGAACAATTAAAAAAAGATAGGTCTTATAGAGCAGTATTGTCTTTTCTTTTGATTTTCTTAGTTTTGTAGGAGCCCAAAAATGTTACAGGATATAAAAACAGATGACCATGGAGATGAGTGACTCGTCAAGTATAAAGGAAGTTTAGACTGTAAATGCATTTTTAAGAATGGATTTAGCTGTGAAAGAAGCAGCTTGGGAAGGCCCTACAGTGCTGTAACCCCATTAGTCACAGTGGAGGAGGTAAAAGGGCTTGTTAAAACAATAAATGCACATGGAAAAGGGGTGACAGAAGGGTGAAAGCAGCAGCTGCACCCTGGAGGGAACTGGCAAACTGGAGAAATAGGTTGCAAAAGAGAGAAGGCAATTTTTGTTGTGACTGCCCACCGTCTGAATTCCCCCTCTTCTTATCCGTATTAGCTCAATGTCGTGTTGACCCTCCCTCCAGCAGGCATAGGGAGGGGAGGAGACTTCCACACTTGTCAGTATTGGTTCTTCAGTCAGATTAGGAGAATGCACTGATATGACACTGGTTATTTTACTAGTATGTGGGTCAAAATAAAATCTGACAGCAAAGCTTTTCAGAAACTGGGTGAGTACTCCTCTCTTCTGTGATCTTGTTGTACAGAGTGTGCAAGAAACCTAGAGTGGTTTGTCTTCCTTACACTACTACATGGTACACTGCAGAAAAAAATTCCTAATTTTGGTGGAAATGAAAGCCTAGAAGCTCCACTTCCACACTCCTTAGCCTGAGTGAAGACTCACTGTGTGCACCAGTTTTGGAGTTTTGCTACTTTCTGATCTATTAAACAAGTGAATTAACTTTTTCCACCTTAAAATGCTTGCAATCACACCCTTCCCCACCCCTCATATCTAATACAGACCTACGTGGTACTGGATTCTCATGCCCAAGTGGGTTTTACTGAAGTTCTGTGCCAGTGTCTGTGGCAGACGTTTTCAGTGTCTTCTTATTGCTGCATGAAAAAAAATAGTATATTGCTAGGGTTAAGGTTGAGACAGTGAAAGAGCACAGAGTCCCAGGGACACTGACTGGAAAATGCATTCCAAGAGGACCATGGCAGGGCCCCAACATTGCTGTCTCCACATCTTTTCATTCTGGGTTAGGCTTAAGGTTTGGATTAGGGTTTTTTAGGGTTAGGATCAGGAAAGTATATCAAGTATATGAAAGTTAATGAAGTCTTTTTTTACTCCAAGTGGCTTTTCTTTCAAGCTAATTAAAATAATTCAGATGACTTGAGAACATCTTAATTGACTTAGGATTGCAGTTCTGAAAAAAAAAAATTTCAGGTGGAAAGTGTTTTTGGGTTTAAGCCAGCATCCTAGCATGCAAGAGATTTGAATTCAGCTGTTAGTGTGTTATAGGTTCGCTTCATAATTTTGAGAAATGCCTTCACCTTTCTTCTAAATGTCAGTTTTGATGGCCCATTCTCACACTTTGTTTGGTGCATTAAAGTGAAATAGGTTCTTGCACTCAGAGGGTTTCTGTAGGTTTAGGAATCTGTCCTTGAGGCTGAAATTTTGGGCTTTGTAAGGTGATGTACAGCTTTTTCCCCTGAGCTCTTGTCCCCTACCTCTCCATGCATGCCACTCTTTGTGCCAGCACTGGTGTCTGTGTAGCTACATGTTCATGTAATGAGGAGAATGACTCAAATGAAGATTTAGGTGGGTAGGTATAGATTTACAGACCATTTGCTAGGCACATAATTTCCTTAACAAAGCTCACTGGAGAATGTTGTACTAATAGAGGGGATGGGGAGGTAAAGCTTGGGTTGGACCCATTTGAAGAGCAGGTGGGATCACACCCTTGGCAGTATCTGTCACAGAGATTGACTGAAAGCAGTGAGAGAACACTGCTGTGTGTCTTTGGACACACACAGACACATACACACAGAGTCTGTTTGAAGTGTCTCCTTTCTGCAGAGTATTTGCATGCCTATAAAAGTGGTTGCTAAGTGTATCTGTAACCTTCATGGTAGATGCAATCAGGTGATGGCAAAGGAAGGCTTCATTGAAAAGAACTGGCAATTCAGAATAAGTCCAGAATATTATGTCCCAAAAAAGAGAGATTCTATTGTAAAGAAACTTTCTACTGCTGGGCCAAGTCTGTATCCCACTGAAGTCAGTGATTTAGCATCAGTAAATGTAATCTTTGTCACAGGTGTGACCAGTTGCCATGTATAAAGAGCTAGTTTCACGTGCCATTTTCAGTGATATGTTGCTCTGAAATTGTGTCAAAATTAGAATGTTACCCAAAATATTGTCTTAAGTTGGGCTCTCTGAAAATCTTTCCAGGGATTCTTCTTTTCCCTAAAGTTGATTTTTTGATACATTTTTCTTGTATCTGATTTTCAGGAGGCACCATCAATCAAGAAATTACCTACCTTGATTCACTCTGGATTAGTGGCTGTTTATGGCACAGTTGTTTTGAATCGGATAGTTCTCTTTTTGGGAACAGATGATGGACAGTTACTGAAGGTAAGCTGTGTGGCATTTCTGCCCTTTTCCACCAGCTGCTGCTGTGTTCAAGTGGTAAATGTTTCCTTGTTTAGGCACTGTTTTATAAACAGATATGATCCCCTGAGTAGCTATTTCTTTTTTGTTTGTTTGTGGAATAACTTTTGTATTGTAACTTGGAATCAAGATAACTTTCAAAAGCAATTATGTATCCTGCCTAAAATTCAAGGAAACATTTCATGAGACTGCTAATGCCCACAGTATTAATTTATAGACTGTGGAGTCCCAGTTACTCTGTCTTTTTTTTTTTTTTTTCCTTCCTTGCTTTGATTTTTCAGTAGAAATAATAAATAGTGTTGGATTTTGGAAGCATATTTATTTGTTTGTTAGCCTATCTGTTTGATGTGAATAGCTGTCCGTTAGAGAGAAAAATCAAGATTCGTTTTGCCTTAGCTTCTCAATAGTTGACCTACACTAACTTAAATCAATCACCTGGAAATGAAAGTCATCTTATCTCATTATCAAACATTTCAACCATCCAGTCAAATGTCTTTTATGCTTTAATTTTTTTCGGGGTTTTGCAAGAATGTGCATTTCCTGTCTACACTGCGAAGGATGACTCTCGTTCCTTGTCTTTATTAGGCAGACATTTGGAGAAGCATATAGTAGAGACCTTGAAAAAGCTTTTGCCCATTTGATTTCACTGTGCTTTTGATAATGAAAAATGAAATTGAAGTGTTCCCTGTCTCCTTAACACAATGGAGACCATGAACACATCTCTCTTTTTTAGTCATGAAAAAGCCACTGTCGGTGTGCTTATTAACTTGCAAAATTAAGTTTCTGTGGTCTCTAGTTCCCTTGAATTCTGTGTGAAGAGTGATGAAAAATGGTAGAGCTGGGCGAGGTAAGAACAAGAAAAACCATCACAGATGTATGTTTACAGAAGCCGCAAAGAAACTTGTGTCAGTTCCTTTTTACATTGTGGGTGTCTGGATGTTAATTTGTTTTCTGAAGGCCAATACTTTCTTCTCCATTCATAGGAGTATATAACACATTTTGACTTTGGGGTATAGGCATCTCTTCCACATTCAGTTTTCAACAAGGAACATGTTTGGTGGAAGGCATGTTTCAGTGCCAGATTCAGAGCAAAATGCATCTGGCATGGATTTTGTCAAACTTCTGGTGTTTTTTTTTTCATTTTTCTTTCTCCAGTGTGAGAACCAGTGCAGTAGGTGAATTGAATCAGGGCACAGTAATTCATCTTAGAAGCTTTGATGTAGCTGAAATTAGGCTTGTGTTTAAAATGTTGAGTGATCAATAAAAGAACTTGTGAATAATTTAATTCTATGTGTTTTAGGCTATTCTTAATGAGGATATGGAATCTAATTGCCCAGAGATTTTATACGAAATTGAGGAAGAAACCCCCATTTTCCATAAACTTCGACTTGATCCAGTGAATAATAACTACATCTATCTGTCCTCTGCCAATAAGGTAAGTACAATATTTAATAAAATAATAAGTTTATGTAAACTACTGCTTTAAGGATTTCTACCACCGTAAAGGGAAGCATGAGTTTGGGTCAGAGTTAGACCTTTACATCTAGTATCTGGTCATGTTGTCTAAATTTGGGTGTCACTTCTGCAGAACTCAGAAGAGCTTCTACTGTCACAGTGCTGCCCAGTGTTGCTATGATCCAGCAGTACCTTTAATCCTATGCTTATTTTATGCCATTCTGTCAAGAAAGTATTTGTTTTTGTTTTTCCTGGAGGCATCATGCAGAATCAAACTTGGAGATAGCAAACAAAACTTGTACACTTTTTGGATACTAAGTTCCTCTGAATTAGCAATCCCGATGTTGATAGATTAGGGTTTGCCAGTCCATTAGGAGTTCCTAATGTGAAGAAATCTCTTAATTTGAGAGATGGCTTTGAAGTCTTAGCTGTTATGAAATCAGCGATAAAGCTGAAATCTGTGATAAAATTCCCATTGTCTTCTGTTAGACATTGACTTTATAAGAGCAGAACAAAACAAAAGCACGATGAGAAGTGAGTAAAGTGTATGCATAGTGAGGCCAGGAGATCAACAGTCACTGAGAGCTGCTGCACACGAGCAAACGTGCTGGAGCTGCATGTCAAGCAGTGAGTGGCTCCCAGGAGCTGGTGCAGTTGTTGCAGCACATTCTGCAGCAGGACTACTGAACAGCAACTCAGAAAATCCCTTTGTCTCACCAGCAGTGGGGAAGATGGCATTGCAAATACAAGAGCTGGCTGTCCATCTTAGCTGGACAGGATTTCACACAGCACTTAATTACCTTCATTTACAATAAAATGACTTTTCCAACAGTGAGCATAGCATTTTAGCCTGCTGTCTCAGAGTGGGGGTAAATTGGTAGGAGAACCCCTGACTGATATAAATCATCTATCACAAATGCAGAAGGAATCAAAATTTCAGTCAAAACTATATGTAGATTTTTAAAGTAAGACTTGAATTTTCTTTAGGTTTGGTAAAAGAGCTAGTTGTTATAGAGAAACAACAGCTTTTAGGAATAAATATGCCTCTCTGATCATCTCTTGGAACTGAACTAAGGCTTCTACGTTGTCTTTTTTAACTTGCTAGTAATCTAGAATTTTGACTAGTTTCTGAACTGCTTATCTCGCACACCTGCAGATGAATTGAATTTTACAATATACGGATGGCAGAAAGCCATATATCTTTTTTTCTGTTCACAAAATATAGGAACTTTTAATTCTTGTGAATTTGTAAAAAAGAAAAAAAAGGTTTGAATTAGTTTTTCTTACTAAGATCATTAATTCACATTGTTATTGATAACATTATTTGTATCTATATTCAGTATTTGTAATCAGCTTTCTCTTTTTCTTTTTCTTTTCCTTTTCTGAAAATGGCTGGCTAGGATATTCAAGCTGAATGTACAAGTATAGATCCATACAATATAGCCACGATTATCTACTTTTACTTATTGAAATGGCATTTTCATGCATGCTGAGCAGTTGCATGCGTTTGTTCTAGTGTGCACATGCAGTAACCTGACATGGTGATGCAAACACAGATGCATTTTGTTATGCGCATGCATTTTTGGATGCACCTTCATCAATCATTTAAGTATCTCAGTTCTGAGGAGAGGAAAATGGTGTTCTGCTAAGCAGAGCATTATTTGTAAAATACACCTCCTTTCTATTATTATCTATAATTCACTATGCTAATCAGTCTTTCTTGCATTAATCTGCCCATGCTGGCCTTTGAGTAGTAGAACCAAATTGTTATTGTCAGAGGTGTTTCGTTATCTGATGGCAAAATACAGCGTGTGCAAAATAGGCTGCATATTTCTATCCAAAGGTCTTCTGGCAGAGGGGAATCCGTAAGGAGACTTCCCCAAAGGAATTGTGCTTGGTTGCTGTCAGATTTTTAATGGTAACCATTGAATTCCCTGTTTATGGAGTATATTTTAATTCAGTGTGTTACTGCATTCTTTGGTTTCAGGTGAGAAGAATACCAGTAGCAAATTGCGGTAGATACGCTTTTGAGCAAGAGTGCTTATCTGCAAAGGATCCCTACTGTGGTTGGTGTTCTTTGAATCAAAGGTATTTTTTAGTATTTTAGACTGTCATATAAAAGCAGAGCATTATTGGTCAGTGTACATTTTGACTGGCTTGACACTGTTCAGCATCATAATTTTATCTACTGAATTTTTACAGAATCAGTCATAGCCATAAATGTGAGACACTTTCTAGTCATGTGAAAGGGAACTCTGCACCTTTTGAAGACTATGTAACCGTCAGATTTTTGAGATCTACCCATAAAGTATATGTTGGGCTAGGACTATTAAATTATTTTGCTTTTACAACAGATATTTTTGCTTTCCAGATTGACTGAGAGATGAAATTGTATACTTGTGCTTGAAACATCTTAATAGCTGGGAGCATCTTGTATGTGAGAATGAGAAAAGAGTGCTCAGATGTGCTTCAGGATTGATAGTTCCTTGCTTTGAAACCTCTGCCTTTGGTTTAGGCCAGAGGAGAATTTCTTTCTAAATACTTCATTCATACACTTGAAGCAGGTTTGAAAGCTATCTGTGACCTGGACTGGAGAAATTCCTTGGTCATCAGGCCCAGTCTTGGCAATTGCAAGCAACCACATCATGTAAAACTAAGAAACTTATCAATGACCATCATAAATTTAGATAGGCTTTTTGTCCTCCCTGTCCTGGTTGTGTGGCTACCTAACAATCTCATTTCTCTTCTGGTTAAAATATGTCTGCTCTTTTTCATCATGTGTGTGTTTTTGGGCAGGTTATACTTACTTGTTACGTTACATCACCTTGGCCTAAATAGGTTTCCTCCCCTCCCTTACACTTACTTCAAAATTTTTTGTGAAAGCAATCTCTCTTTGCTTTCATTTTGATGTGCTAGCACAGCAAACTTCACTGAGATCATCTCACGTAAGATACTCCCTTCTTACCTCTACTCCATTAACCCTTCTGTGAAATTTATACATCCTTTTAAAATAAGGGTTGCCAAGACTGTCACATTGTTCCAGAAGAAATTTCAGCAGTGCCTTGCTTAATGTTGTTTAATCAGCATGTCCAGGAAGCATCTTAGTGTGTTCTGGAATCACAAATGTCTTTTTCATAACAGCATCACATTGATGGGCCACAATCATCCATGATCAAATAATGCCCCCAGGTCCTTCTCTTTCTTTGTTTTCTTTCCAGCTGATGAGTTTCCAGTCTATAACACATGGGTTGTGAGATTTTTACTGCTCTAAGTACATGTTCTTGTACTTTATCCTTTGAAATGCCATCCCATGTGAAGGTTATCCAGGTTTTCCTGTGTGATATTCTTATCTTCATCTACAAGCTAACGTTCCCAACTTTGTATCATCAGCAAATGTCAGCGGTGTAAACCTTCTCTTATGCCAGTTTGTTCAGCAATTAAAACCTTAAACTGAAGTGGCTGTAGGATGGATTTTTGAAGAATTTCACTAGTAACCTTCTTTTAGAAGGTTAATACTATCCATTTTGGTTTGTTTCAGTGTAAACATGATTGTGCTGAAGACCTGCTACTGTATGTTGGCAAAGTATTGAAAGAGAGTGGGGGTTTATTCTGTAATATATTTTCTTCAAACTCTGTTTTGCTACCTTGTTAGAAACTGTGTGTGTAACAGTGCTAAGCTTTTCAGGCTTTTAGTTACCTTATAAAGAGTCTGTGAATAACAGTTATTAGTCAGTGCTTTTGAGGGGAATCACCAGAAGTTTCCACCTGGTTGAAACAGAAATAATTTACTCTTTTGGTGAAAAAATTAATTACTATAACATGACTCCTGTTCAACACGTATGTAATTTTTTGCTGTTAAACACTTTGCATCGTTAAATATTTGGTTTATGAAGAGAGAGCTCTGAGTGAAGCTTTAGAAAAAAAGACGTGATTTTTAGCTAGTATTTTACTCAAAGTGGGTATATGCCCACTAAAACAGTATATTCCATAGAAGTTTTGAGATCAGTTATATGTTTTATGCTTACAGGGAAATAAACTTCATATAAAATGCACACTTAATTTTTAAGGAACTTACTAACAATGCTAGTACCTCATCTTAAAGACAGTGTGAACTGAAATCCAGTATTTTAAAGAAAAAATCTGCACATCCATCGCAAGAGAAAACAAAATTAAACAAAACATTTCTGCTGTTCCTATTTCTACTTTTTCTTCCATAGTGACAAATATATAAATTCTCCTTTTCACTTATAATCATTCAAAACAATTAGTCATAGCATTGTGTGATTTCTTTCAATTTTTACAAGTTTTCTATAGATGAATCAGAGTTACCTGAATTATGCTAAAATACAACTCTAATACAAGGCACTGATGTTTTACATGTATTTTCTCTATGGAAATAACACAATATGTTATCTGACAGGACCAGACTTACTTTTGAATTTGGTCAGTGTGTGGGACATCTGTAGGCTTCATTCAGAGGCTGGTACCTTAGAGAAAGAAGGAAGCCAAAACTTTCTCTGAAAGCATGTTCTCATTCCATGATGAAATCAGTATGCTTTAGCAAGGCAGAGAGGGCAAACACTCTAGGATCTGCGGCTAATACAAGATCAGTGAAGCAGAGACTTAAGTAAATATGAATGAACGAGTACGCACAGATATTGTTTTATCATAATGGAATAAGAAGAACTCAATTCCAGTTGTGCAGAGGAATCTTTAGTAGTATAGAGAACTAGCTTGCTGTGAAGGATTTAAAAAAAATCTTCACACTGCTGTTTTCTGTATACATACCTATGCATGTCTGAAATCTGACCCAAAGGTTTCATACCTTATATCTTCATAATGTTATAGGGTCCACTTCATCTTTCCAAGAAAGCCAGACTTAGTAGTTGTCTGAGTCTGTATGTTAATTTTCCGAACCATGTGGTTCACAAATAATATTTATCTGTTATATTCATTCCAATGTGCTTGCAGTCAATATCAGTTTTCTAAAAATAGGGATATTACAAAACATTTTCCTCTTTAGGTGAGTGGAATTCATGTTACTCTTGGTCTTTGCAGGGCAATTGTGAGAATTTATGCTGAGGGGCATCAGATGTCACTGCTTCCTATGAATATGACTGTTCTCCGTAGCACATTGTTTGAGTGTTAAAGGTCGGCTTTTAGAGCAAGAAAAAATGCATTTTTTCATGACATGAAGGCAAGCATGACCCTGGGTCCTGTGTGGCATTGCTGCTTTTGCTGTTAAAGACTCAGATTCTTCATTCCAGATGAGGGAAACAAGTTCACTGCTTATTCCTCAGGCAGTCTAAGAAAGCAAATAACTTTGTCCTAGGACAGTTGTAAATATTCAGCTTGACAGTTTTCTTTTTTAATATATTAGTATTAGTGTCACTGAAATGCATACACTTTAGTTCTAAGTATTGCAGAATGTGTTTTCTTTCAAATTTACCTTTATAATCCTCGGCCTGTCAGAAACTGTAGAACATCTTGCTTCCATGCATCATTACCAGTGCGAGTTACCTGCCTGTACATATCTAAGAATCTGGTTTATGAACATCTTTTGATGACAGATCCCATCCTCTGTGGTTCTGAAACTCTAGTGCTAAACTGTGATGCTAATGGACTTTTGTGATCTCAGTAATCAGCGAAGAGAAATATAAATGAGACTGAAATTTGTCCTAGTTCAGACAGTTTGAAATATGTCAGGCATATAGTCCCAATTTATTACATTATCATTATGATCTGAATATGTTCAGTTGCAAAGCCTTACCAGGTTCTTGTACAGCAGGAACTCAGTTTCCTGAGTTAGACCACAGAGGAAGTGACCTTGTGCTCAACTGCACTCTAGTTGGCAGTGACTTGATCTACAGAGAAAATGACTTTATGGTGTCTATGGTTTGTGAGGTTACTTTGGGCATTCTGGAAAGTGGTGGATATTTTTGTTAGAAGTCATTCTTGTGTTATTCCTTCTGGAGAGAAAACACATTGCTTGTGAAATACATTTATGCAGTGAGCTTCTCATAAAAAATGACCATGCTTTGCAACTATATACTAATTTCTAGTTTGTAGCAAAGGAATGGCTCATTAAGGCACATGTGAATGATCATATGATTGAAGCTATACATCATCTATGTTTGGTAGAAAAGTAGGATTAAAACAATATTAAGTGTTACATTTATTTATAAATATTCAATAAATGTTTAATATTTATAAATATTTTATCTTTATGAATAATATGAAAACACGAAAATATATTCAGTTAGCACGTACTTTAATGGCTAACAATATGAAATTACTTGGAGTTAATTTGTGAATTGTTCATTAACTGTTGAAAGCAGACAATATTTTAAGGATCACCTTTCTAACTCAGTGACTGGGCATCTAATTTGTACGCTATGTTCTCTTTTTCTTACAACGTGTTATAACATGTAATCATTGTAGTGCTTGTTTGTCTCAGTGTTTCCTCATTCTTCCTTAATTTTTGCAGCGTATTTTCCATTTCCTAAGATTTGGCGTCTATAACATTTTTATTTCCTTTGTGCCTTCCTACTTTTGAAATGGATTTTATGCTTGAAAACCAAGTGGTTTTAACCAAGTGCACTGACATAAAAGGGAAGGATTACCATTCATATCAGTGGATGACAAAGAAAATTAGGAAGGAGGATGCATCTCATCAACTATACACATTTGTAGCATAGCTGTACATCTGCTCTTCACCCCCATCTCTTCTTATACTCTCTGTAGAGGATGAGCAGCTTCTACAGTGTAGTTCATTTCATCTTTGTCTGAATGTCTAAAATAGGTTACGTGAATTGCACCCTAAAAGAATGTATTTCTCCCCATAGAATGTAGAGGGAACCAACGGGGCGGGGGCATGTTGATGGAGGGGGGGCAGATCTACAGCTGTACAATGAAGAAATCAAGTTGGGGGTGATGAATTCCATCCCGGGCTACCAATTCCACTGTTACTGGCCAAACATATAATACTTGTTTGAGTCCCATGGATTGAATCAAGACCCTCATGCATATATCAATGCTTTGTAATTTATTTTGATAAGCAGAAGATTTTACTTATTGTTTTCCTGAAGCTTTTTGCAGTTGTGACCATATTCCTGTAAAAAAATCAATAGTATTTCTGTAAAAAATCAATAACTTTAAATAAGTTGAAGTACAGTGTCTGAAGTCAAAGCCATGATAAGGAGGCTAGTATAATTTTATGTATACTTTTAGGTGCACATTAAAAGAAAATTGTACACATTCAAACAGCATAAATGGTTGGTATAACATTTCACATGCACCCAGTAAAGATCTGGAAATCCTGCTAAGTTTCCCTGCCAAAAATCAGGTATGTACACCCAGTTTTATGTATGTTTGTTTATTGTGACTTAAAATGTGTGATTTTGTTGCGTATTGCAGCTTCTCTTCTTTCGTCCCCATGATCCATATATTAGTGCTTCTTACCTCAACAATTGGCCAATGTCTTGGAAATCTCAGTAAGCTCAATGTGTCAATTAGATAAATATTCTCTTCCTCTGCTATGATATGTATCCTGAAGCTTTATTTCATGGTGTTGAGTCAAAAATTCAAACGCGCACTATGCTGATGAAGGCAATGTTTCTGTTGTATCACTGTATCAGCTATGTTAAATATTCCAGTAACTATATATCAAGTGCATTATGTAAGTTCTGAGCTTTGTAACAAGTTAGAAAACATTCACTGGGACACATATGCTAACACAAATGTATCTTTTAAGTGCTTGATATTAGTATTTACTCTGTATCTGTTCACAGCACCCACAGCCTTGAGTATTTGATTATCAGCTCTTGTGACCAGCCACTTAATCTGCACACTATTGTTTCTGATTTCCTGATTGAATACACTAATGTGATCATATTTGTAAAGTGCCCTCAGCCAAAAACAAAGGATAATTCATTACAATAGAAATTCTGTTTCATAATTAAGTGCGCTTTGCTTATGTATGCAAACGATGTCTCTCTCTGAGGATCTGAGTGTATTTTTACTCAAATATTTTTAAAGGAATATGACAGCGTATAACACTGTTATAGCAAAATTCTAGTTTTAAAATTCAAAATTATTCCAGACTGCTCCCCTAACATATTGTACAAATCTATTTAATTTCTGGAAGTAAGCGACGCTGTTCCTTTCAGAATTCTTTCTGTATTGTTTCTTCAGCTGGGAGAGTTGCACTCCTTTGAGAGCCTACCTAGTGAATTGTCTGCTTCCACCACAAAAATTTTCATTTTGTACATGTCATAGTTGGTCATTTTCTGTAAAGACAAGGTGATGACTTAGCAAGTATTACAAAAAACCTGTTATATTCTCGTTTTTATTGTTTTATAGGTTGTTGTGACTGCAAATGTAAGCAAAATCCTTACTTTCTGTATGATAAAAATTGTAACATCTGTTGAAATATTTTATGAAAATGTAGTGCTGAAAAATTCGTCCTGCTCCTGCAATCTAACCACTCCGATGATAACTGATAATGGTATGTTTTACTATTACATACAATTACATGTATTTAGTGCTTATTCACTGTCCCTTATTACTGCGTAAATACAGGCCTAATGAGTATGAGAGTACATAATACTTTTTATTAAATGTCATTGAAGAAAAATAATTCACATTTTATCAAGTGATTTGAGTATACTCACACTTTTCTTGATGATGAAAGTTTTGTTAATGTGGAATCCTTTTTAGAAGTAATAACACGTTACCCTATGTCTTGAAGCAGCTTCTTCCATTCATCCTATAGCAGTGCAGTGTTTTGGCATTACTAGTATATTTATTTGCATTGTGCCATTAATAACTGTCTAAGGAAACTTAAGATAACTGCAATGACAATCAAACTGGCTGGAACAATGAAAGCAGTGTTGGTCTAGTGCTCTCCCTTGACAAATAAACCTATTTTAACTCTTCTCTCATCTGTAAACAGAATATTTTTTTTTTTTTGCAAGAAACTGTACTAGGGTAAATAAAAAGAGAATTTAATTATAAATGTCTGTACAGTAAATAACCTCAAGATTTAATTAACTGTTTCAACCTAACTTAGACACTGAGAAAGTGATTGTCCCATGTGGAGGATTAGTAGAAAAATATATGGTTCAGGGGCGATTTGGTGGGTACATCTTTTTGACTTGATTTCATTCATCTTTCTGAATTACTGGTTGAATCATTTTGCAATGATTCCAGTCCTACTTTGTTCACCAGTAGCTCTCAGAATTAGAGGCCCGAGTGATTTGTATTGAATGTGTGATACTTGTGATCTGTTTTACGTATCTTACGAACAGCTACAAGTTCTAGAACGAGACGGTAAATTGCTAAATGTCTAGACTCTTGAGCTACTCTTTAGGCTTTGGTCTCAAAGATCAGATGATAATCCTTAACGCTAGAGTTGTATTTGACCGAAGGTAGGGAAACATCCCTCTTGCATTTTTTCAAGGGTCTGTATAGAAGCACAAAGCTTTTTTAATGAAGTTTGACCTTATAACTTCTTAAAGTTGCTTATGTTAGAATGCAAGAGAGAGGGACAGATAGCAAGCTGAAGGGATACCGTGTGCTCTTAAGTGACTTGGAGAGGAAACAGAAGATTCAGATAAATGCCTGCCTCTATCTTTTGCTCAGTAATTCAGCCCAAAAGACATGGAATACTCTGCATAAATCTCATTCCCTTATAAAATCTTTGTGTAAAAAAGACACATGAAATGTTATCCCCAGCTTACAAGGACCTGTTTTTCTGAAGAGCTCCTACAAAAGAACTCTCTCTCTCTCAGGAAACCCTTGCCCCTGAAGGAGGTTCCTTGGAATATTTGGATCTCAGGAGCCTTTGGCCTTTGTATGGGAAAAGCTGTTCTGGCATCATAGAAATGTTGTGTCAAGTTCCTATCCAACACTGATTTGGGAATTGAGGAGGAAAGACTGTCTGTCACTAGGAGGTGACAGCTAGAGTGATATCCATAGGTATTCTAGTCTATTAAGTAAGCTACCTTTTGTAAACATTTTAGTGGATTTTTAAGAGGGAAAGATGCATCAGAAAAGAGGAAAATGTTCTTTATTGACCCAGTCCCAAAAGCTATGTTTTCTTGTAATTATGGGGTATATTGTTTTGGTTCTTTTTCTTCTTGAACTAAGGCTTTCTCTTAACTCCATTAGCAGGATTTCAGAGTACAGTTTTATGGAAGCCAGCATGCCTTGCCTTTGCCTTGTGCCAAAATTGAGCCTTTTCACAGTGTTAACCAGAAGGCTGTGAGGTTAGCTTGTGCCCGCCGGTATTACTGTCACTCATGTGCTCCTATGAGCTGAGATGTATTAGTGAATAATGCAAGTGTGAAGTTATGTTTACTATTTATGGTACCTCTTGTAAAGTGACCTCAGTCTCACAAGAGGATGCACTTGCAAAACTCCTTTAGATGCCATTTCTCAAAAAAAAAATTTTGAAAATATCTGCTTCTCAGGGCAGTCCAGTGCATTTAAAAGGTCAGCCCAGACCATACAGAAAATAAGAGGTTGCATTAATTTCAGCACAGACAGAATCAGGAAACCATATTTGGTGGTTTTGTTTTTCAAGTATTTATACAAACTTAAAAGAAATGCCAGGCTTTACCAGAAGGAGGTAAATTCCTTGTTTTTACTTAATACTACTTTTCTGTAGCTCATGGCTTGAGACCTTTCTCATATATTTATGTAGGCAAGTGATTTAGGCAGTTGTGTGCCAACATGACAGATTTCTGCAGATAAGTAGATTTCTGGAGATGCAAATGTTTGATGAAGGATTTCAGAATGTCTGTGTCTACTCATCCACATCTTTAAGCATTAAAGTACCATCAAAATCAGACCCTTTGCTATCCATTTAGTAAGGTATTTAGTCGTATGAATGATCCCCAAGGGCTGTTTCTAACAAGCAGTTCAGGTGACCTTTGCAGTGAGCACCCAAGTGCAGCAAGTGCCATGCTGACATGTGGAGCTGGGAGATACTTCTGATTTAACAGCTGTAGATGTAGGCAAAGCTGGTTTTCATCTGAATAAGCCAGGCTGCGATAAAGGCAAGGTTTGTCTACCTTTGCAAGGTAGATATACTTAAAATATGTGTAGCTCTCCTGGATTAAAAAGCTAGCTACTTCCTAGCATAGAGAAGCCAGAAAAGTCTGCACACATGGGTTTCATTTGATCTCAGGCAGTCATTCATTTCACAGATGTACACATCTGCAGGCACACAGATGAAAGAGACCATGGCATAAGTGGTATATATCTAACTCTACTTTTCGATGTGGTATTCTGCTCATAAGAGAAGATACTCTTTCATACCACAGCTGCCAGTGAATTGTCGGTATAGTAATTGCTAGCTGAAGTAATGGCAAATTGACTCATGCAATCATAAAAGATTTAAATAGGATGAAAATTGCTACTGCATAGATTACAAAAGGAGACTCTTGAAACCAAGTCTCTGAGACAGATAGAGACAGAAGTATGATATGTTGGGGTCTTTCACAGTAGAACAGTCTGTTGTGTTAGAAGACTTGAATTAGGGGTCTGGCTGTGCCACAGTACATATCACTGTGTGCCTTCTGGGAGATGATTTTATATCCCTGCTTCATGGTAGCATTTCTTTATCTGTATCCTGACAATATTACTTTTGTTTGTCATGCAGTGATGGCATCAAGCTTAATTAATGAGTGTGTTTAAAGCCTTGGCACAACTCAGCTGAAGGGTGCTATAGAAGGATAAAATCTCGGGGTTTTTATCAGTCAAAAGTGGGAGTGAATGCATGAGGGAAGGTGCATACCTAGTAAAGAACAGCTGAAGGCACATGAGCTTTCAACTATATTATTTTTCAACAGGTATTTTTTGTGATATCAGCATATATCTAACATGCACATTTTTCCAGATTGTCTAATTCTCGAAGCATCACTGTCTTCAAGCTCTTGGAATATCACACAAACATTTCAGTCAAAAAAGTAAGTCTGGTTCTTGCTAAAATTCATTGAGGGGTTGATGTGTGTAGGGTGTGGGGGACTGAAGTCATTCATCATTCTATTTTTGGTATTTGTTAAGGAACTGCATTTCACTGAAGATAGTAAAATCCCTTTTCTTGGCCTACTTCTTCCTCCTTCTCTTTTCCTTTTTTTTTTTTTCTTTTTTTTTTTTTGGTGTGTGTGTGTTCTTAGAGAGCTACTTCTTCTGATGACTCTCTCATTTAATGGGACCCTGGCAGCTAACTGTAGGAGAGTCATTACAGTGACTGAATCTATGACAAGTGCCTGAAGAGATAATAAAGGATGTCACAATGACATTAACATCCTTTTTGTCCTTGGGAAAAAGGTGAATTCCTGGTACTCAGGATAAGACCTAGAGTAGAGGAGTCAAGAGATTCTTTAAAAGTCACTTTGTGAAATTGTTTTTTATTGGACCCAGATGCAATTTAAGTATGGTCCATGGCTAATGAATACAATTAAACAGAGAGTAACATCTAATCTGCTACTATGAGTAATGAATACTTATTCTTTTGCACACATTATTTTTCAGAGCCACACTCCTTTTGAGAGCTGGCAGAGGAAGTACTTGTGCCCAGTACACGGCCTAATCCTTTATGATAGGAGGTTGCTAATATTTAGAAAGATCTGACTAATATATACTATAGATAACTACAGTGTTCCTGTTTAGAACATTCCTCCCCTATACAAAAAGGCTAATCCATAGGCACCTGGAATGAAGTTAACTCTTGCTTTTTGGGAAGTGGCATATCACTTCCCTGTCCCTGGGGCAACACAGGGAAGGAGTTGTCTTTCTCTAAATCAGAGCATTTCTCAGCATGTGTGGAGAGGGACTGTGCTGCCCTTGGCTCTGTTCCACACTTATAGAGCCATTGCAAAGCAAGACAGGGACAAAGTAGTCTCCAACAGGCATATTTTTTGGTAAGAGGAGGCAATAGGAAACTGGCAATACTTGCTAGCCCTACTCACACAGAACAGAAGTTCAGACAAGCTGTTAAAGAGTCAGTGATGATTTTCTGCCCTTTTCTGTTTTAAAAGTACTACCTGGCCACTCATGAACTGGAGTAAATCACAGCAAAATGAAACTGAAAGTGTTCTGTCTGCTTCCTGCTTTTTTTTGAAATTTATGACTTACAGCATCTCAGCACAGATTGTATTTCATACTAAATTTCTCCTCAGAATAAACACAACAGAACAATAGGCTTGGAGGATAAACACAGGTTATGTGTTTTATCCGTTTCATTACATGTTTACCAGGTTGTTCTCATGGGTTTATGCTTCTCTTCTGTCACTTGAAATTTCACATTCATGACTGAATCTAGATTGAGTTCCTGTGTCTTACAAAAACTCTCTTTCTGTGTTACCAGCTGCTCACGTTGTATACACAAGGGTGAATGTGCCAGCTGTAAATGGAATCGCGTCTCTCCTGCCACCACCTGCCAGGTGAAGTTTGTTGGGGAGAACTGGAATCCCCTGTGATGCCTTTTTCTTGTATTTTTTTATGGCTGAGCAGCAATCTGTCTCTTTTTTTGTCCTGACATGGAGAAATGCTGATTTTTTTTTTTTCAGGATAATTGTAATGCAACTGCTTCCAAGCGGATCACCACTGCACAGAAAACAGAGGTTAGTTAGCATTTTCAGATCGGCATTATTGAGGTTCTGAGGGTTGCGGGAGAAATTTATTTAAAGTGAGAGCACTTTGCAGAAAGAATAGAGATATGGATGAAAAGGCAGTCAGTTGGTAGGCAGAACTGGGGTTGATACTATTTTTTATTTAGTGCTTTGCAGTGTTAAAAGGGACCAGCAAAAACTTGTGTTTCAGATCCAGGCATTGAGACAGTGAACACTGCAATTGTTACATGCCTACCTCTAGATGCAGTATTTACAATATTGCTTTAAATGCCAGAGTCCCTATGCTGTATTTAGACACTCCACAGGAGCCAACACGCTGAGGACTGGGATGTGTAAGCTGACCAGCAACAACAACAAAAAAAACAAAACACAAAAGAGAACGTTGCAGACCTTATCTTTTACCTAGACTTAAAAACATGTTTGAGTTCTGCTGTCACAGACAACTCTGTGAAACTTGACTTCAGAGTATGAAACCTCTTCCTCATTTTATGCAACCAGATCACAGTTTCTACTGAAACAAAGCTGCCAGGGGAGCAGAAGGAAGGGGAGCATGTGCCACCCAGTTCCTGCATAACAGAGAAGTGGCTAGAGGATGAGTCCAGGAACTGAAATCCCTGGGTGTTAGTAAATCTCTAGTTCACACTTCCAGAAAAATTTTCTTGTTTCCAGGCTGTAGACAAAACTAGAGATGGAGCTACTCTCCATCTATCCCACACAAGCTGGATCACTGGAAAGGAAGAAGTGCTGCTGGTACCAAAGTACCTGCTGAATCTGGTTGCTGAGTTCTCTGTGGAAATCATATAGATTGTTTGTATGCATACAATCTAAATTATTTGTCTCATAGGCCAGCCCTTTAACCTTCTGCTTCAAAGCCAGCCTTTTAACCGCAAGGTTATCCCTTCATTCTTTATGGAACCAACATGATTTTATTTTCTCATAAAACTGAGTGATCTTTTGATCAGTGGTTGCTTTTGACATGCTGGTGTTAGGAAAGAAATGAGTAGTGAAGAGAAATTTGACTGATGAGTAAGTATATAGAGATTTGCTTCCTACACTTTTTGGTTTCTGCTTTTCTGTGAGTGATGCATGGTTGTTATAAATAGCAACTGGGTTCTTATCTCTAAATGTTTCATTAGAATGATGCAAACTTTTACCTCTTAAGGCAGAAATTACCTCTTAAATTCAGCTATTCAGCTGATGTTTCTTAAACAAAATCACAAAATACATTTTGTTTTTCACAGAGAGGGGTAGGATTGTAATACTTGTGCTTCTAAGCATTAATATTCTGGATTTGATCTGCATTTAAAGCATTATGTCTGGTGAAAGAACAGAGGAAATTCTGCTTTGCTCTGCTTCCAAGTGCATTAATTTGACATTGGTAAATAGTTGGAATTGCCTGGGAGATGGCTTTCTTCCACATGCCTTATCTTGGAAAGACAGTGATGGACAAGGCAGTGAAAGCACCAGAGGCGGTGCAAAGGCAGATGTTTATTTAGAAGTGATTGATCCATTCAGAGGGCTTGAAATTGCATTTGAAATCGTGCTCTCCTTTGACTGCTGGTGCTTTAAGGAGAACATACTGGAGAGTGGAGAAAGAGGATTTGTGTTTTCCCATAACCCCAGCTGAGCATTTAGATTAATATACTTTTTTTTCAGTGGGAGCCCCAGCCCTCCTTCTGACTCCAGCTGCTGGTTTCCATGCATTCACCTTCCCCCTCCCTGCACGAAAGCAGCAGTTGAAGTGCTTGGATTGAGTATGCTTGTCTAGGGAACTGATTTGGCTGGAAATAACCATTGTCTTTCAGCAGGTTATTTTCCATCTGGGCCAGTTGCCTGATGCAGTTCTTTGGGGCCCTGTGCTAGCAGTGCAGAAGGGGCTGTGCCAGAAAGGGACTCCCTAGGGTGGCGGAGGCTGCTTAACCTGGGCCACTGCCAGATATCTCTCCAAGACCTGCAGCCATGCTAACCACACCTCTGAGGATGTGGCTTCTGCTGTTTACGCAGCCCTAGGGAAGTGTTAGGCTGTCCAGGGGAAGGGGGAAGTGGCTGCAGCTCAGAAATATGGAGCTCTATTGAAGTTGACAGGGCTGTGCTGATTTACATTACCTGAGGACCTGGTGCGCACTCTCTGTATGTCTCTTTGCATGTTTACACTTTCATCACATGCCTCACAACTAGTGATTTTTATAAATATCCTTCTGCCTCTCTGCTGTCTCCCCTCTTGCTACTGGGCATCTCTCCCCCTGCCACATAGCAACTGGAAGGTCAGCAGCTCTCTGGTGCTGGGGAAATGAGCACTGCAGACCCCAGAACACTAGGTCCCTCCTGCATTCCGTGAGGAAATTGATGGTTTCTTTTGCTGCTGAGGAAAATGTCGCAGTCAAGCTGGGTGGGAATCAGGCTCTTGAGTAGCTGAGGCCAGCTTACCTCATTGCCATCAGTGCACTGACTCCGTGAGTCCAAGGCCAGATGCCGCGAGGGAGTCGGTGAGAGGTGAAAGGTGAGAGGCAGGTGTAGCCACAGGGAAGGCATGATTTCAGAGGGGACTAAAACTTCCAGAGTGAACAGGTCTTCCCATAATTTCTTCTTGGTGTAAGAAAAGAAGCAAAGCAGGCTGGCAGAGAGACCAGTGGGAGCCCTGAAGCATCACAGCATCTCACTGCACCCCTGGGCAAAGGATACCTCACCTTTCCTTCACTGGGGTGCCCCGCCCTTATGCAGCTCTGGGGGGATCTCCATGTGTTTGTGTGATATTGCAGTATTCTGCTGCTTCAGGGCTCCCTGCTCGTTACCAGTGAGAGCACAAAGCAGTGTTTTACGCCTTTCTGAAGTAGCTGGCTTCTGGATTTGTATGAGGATATTGACTGTCCTTGTTGCACTGGAGGTTGGACACAAGCAGAGGGACAAGGTGTAGGTAAAGAAAAGCACTGGTGGTTTGCTGGCTTTAATCTCTTAGATTTCTGCTTCAGTTGTCCTGTCCCAAGGGTTAAACTGATTCCCAGGTAATCGTGGGAGTAAATTTTTCCCCTCAGGCTATTTGTGAGGGATTTCCTTTGCCTTCCTCCGTTATCCATACCAGAGGTCATCTTGAAGGCCCTTTTGCAGGCCCTCTGGCCTCAACCTTTGCACACTCTTGCCATTTCTTAAGGCAGAAGTTGAAGCTTTCAATCAGTGGTGACAGGTGACATTAGCTCTAGAGTGCTCTGGTGTTCAGTGAACTGTAGTATCACGTGGAGACAATGTGCTGGGGACCTTTCTGAAATAGGCAAAGCCTGTGTTTGCAGAGGATGGTGTTGTGACCCTGATGGTCCCCTTTGACCACCAGCTTGAAATCTTAGTGCTGCTCTGGGTACATGAAAGGATTAATGGGTAGAGAAAAACATGTGGGATGGAATTTCTTAGAGGTTCCTTGTAGAGGACCCTTCACAGGGTTGAGAAGAAGGAACCCTGGGATATATCCATGGGTGCACAGCAAAAATCAGGATAATCACAATACTCTAAAAACTCTATTTAAACTAGTATTATAGGCAGTCTAAAGTCAGGCTAAAAATCATTTACTTGAGAAGGTCCCAAACAGTTTGTGGTTTCATATGCGTATTTTCCTGTTTTTTCGAATGTTTCAGTTTGTTGTCTGAAAGATAGATAAAGAGGAAACCGTCTGTGTGATTATGAAACTGGGGAAGCAGCAACACTGATTAAACATGAGATGCTGTCAAATGTATCAAGTACATACACTAGGGAAAACATCTCCCTTCTTGCTCAGTAGTGTTAGTAAGTTAGAACAAGTAAATATAGACAATGAAAAGCACAGTTTAAAAATTGGCCACATTTCTGTAAGACTGTGGCAGCATCAGTGTAAACTAGGATTGTTCTTAAATGCTGGAGAACTTCTTAGCATCAAAATGAAATGCTGAAAAATTCCCCTGCAGTTGTGCTGTACCTTTAGTTCTGTGCATGACTTTGAAAAGACTTCGTAGTAAAGCTAATTCTGGGGCTCTTTCTCAATTTTCCATTCAAGGATTTGACCCAGCTTCCCCTTTTCAGGTCATGAAAGATGCCTTCATTTGTTCTCTGATCTCTCATAGTGACAGCACCACGGGTTTTGTCTTGCATTGTTTCTTAGTTCTTCAGGGGTCACACAAAACGTATCATTTCAAGCTGGGTCTTTATGATACCTACCTTCCAGTATGTCAGACTGTGATTCCTTTGGGCAACTGTGTTATGGGATAAATTGAAATATAAAATGCAACAATAAAAATGGTTGGCTTGTAAAGAAGTTGTGATTGACAGTGCTTCCCAGAATTAAATTTAACAAGATTTGAAATTATTAATAAAAGTGTATCCCAGTGCCATAAAATCTACATTCTTGAGTGGTAGTTGTTTTTACAGCTGTTGCTTATCTGCCTAGCCTGTTTATAACCAGATTTTGTTTTGCTTTGTTTCCTAATAGCATATCAGTATTCAATCCATTGAACCTTTGTGGATTTCTACATTAGGCAAAAGTGAAATAACAGTCAAAGGAGAAAACTTTACACGTGCATCAGGCATAAAACTGATATTGACTGGAATCACTGGCTGTAAACCAGACGTGTGAGTTAAACTGAAAAATAATACTATTTACTTTTCATGGTGAAAATTATGCCCATTTTGCTCTAGCAATACGGTTGAGTGAACAGTTGTAAGAGGAGCAGGGGAAGCTCTACATCTCTCTACTTATACTTCCACTTTAATTCCCAAAGGGTGGAAATGAATGTGGTGTTTGGGTGCAATACAAGGAATGGAAGGGTAGGTGGTCGGTTCTCTCAGTAATAGTGGGACAATGCTGTACCTGTGGTCCTCTGTGCCTCCTAGCAGGCTAGAAGAAGTTAGGTCACAGGAAAGCCTCAGCTTTTGTTTGATAGTTCTCTGCTTCAAAAGATTCCCCATATATTCTAGGATTCTGCTTGTAAAAGCACAAACAACATGCCACAGAAGAAAATATCTCATGCAAGAACTCCTACTTTTCTCTGTTGATGATTGCACAGTGTAATCCCCTAGATAATTAGGCTATCGTATTCTGAATCAGTTATTTTCAGGTGCAGCTGCAATGGCTGGCTGTGATTACCAAGGCCATTTTACACAGCTAGCACTTGAAAAAATAACGTTCAGTTTTTACTTCAATCGTGAATTTCTAGGGGACTACAGAAAACAAAAGGAGAGAAGGAGGGAAAGACAGGAAGTAGAGAGAAAGAGGGGGGAGAAAGGAGACAAAAAAAAAAAGAAAATGAAGATTCTCATTCTTGGCTAGCTCATGGACCGTGTTGGTAGCACAGAGAAGTACACAGTAAACAGCAAAATCACACATTCTATTACATAGCCTCATCCCAAGTTAAATATCGATACTGACTTCTGTGATTATTGTGTCACATAGGAACTTCATTCAAAAGATGCCCTACTTTGTCTTTTCAACTCCCTCCTCTCTCTGTCCGTCTCCATCTGGCAGCTCAGAGAGGGATTCAGTTCTCTTTTCTCCTTGTCATTTGCTGTAGGTTATAGGCTTTGAGAAGTAACACCAATGAATGACATCTGTGTTTCAATATTTGTCTGTTTTCTTTCTCCTCCAGCATTAAAGTTAGAAATGTGCTAAATGATACGCAGATGACATTTGCTCTCCCACCAACACGTAAAGAAGCCAAAAGTATATGCATACAGGCTAACGGGAAAAAGTGTTCACCACCAATGACCCTGCATTATGTTTCACTGCCTTCATGTTCTAGAATCACACCAAATACCTCCTGGATCAGGTAAATTTTGTCTTTCACTACTTTTTATGTATTTGTTCAAATGTAGTTGCACTGAGCCAATATGAGCCTTCTTCCTTGGCCAGATGCAGCTGATGCAGACTTGGAAGCCTGCTATAACCTGTTGTGGAGGATGAATTTACACCCATAAACTGATTTAACAGATAATTTAACTTGATAACTGCAAGATGGATTCTGTGTTTGCAGGATTTTATAAACTTCTTCTTGCCCACCCCAGGTCTCCTTTACAGAAGTCAAAAATAGTCTATTCAGACTAAAGCTAAACTGCCGAGGCCCGGGTTCGATTCCCAGTCAGGGCCACTCCCTGGGCAGATGGAGCTCATTAGCCCTGTAAGGCAATCCATCTACGTCCTGAGGACCTCACTGCCACCGTCCAAGCGTGCTTGGCCCCGGCAGATGAACCTCAGGATTAAAGGGTGGGCTCAGTTCCGCGCACACTGTGTCTCACCTAAAAAATCCAATGTGCAGGCTGGAAGGTGTAAAGACCTTCCCCGGTTCTTCATTCGCAAAGACTGGCCACTACATTACAAATCCAAAGTATGGATAGCATGGATAAATTCTAACTCCGATTAACTTTGATTTCTTGATAGTAATATACCCTTCACCTGCAAAACAGTATAAAGTTTCAGTGAAATAAAGTGAAAATCACCCCTGCATGATATGTGCAGACTTTCTGAGGGCGTTCCCTAAAGCCAAAAGAGCCGTTTTCAAACCTCTGCTTGTTCTGTGGGAGACTCACAGATCTGGTGAAAGACTTACAGGGTGGTTTTTAAGATATTTTCAGCACAGCTTTCCACCTGTCCCTCTGCCTGCACAGTTTTTACCCGCTTGCAGCTTCTTAATCTGGTATCTTGTCATCAAGTGTGGATTTGAGGTAATGAGTTGGGCTGGCAGCTGCAGCAGCTGAGCAGCTAGGATGCATGCTCTCATCTCCAGGTGAGAGGCAGCTCAGGCAGCTGGAAATTAATAATACCTTAAACCACTCCAACTGTGTTCAGCAGAGATTGTGAGCCAGAGCCCTCAGACACAAGCACCATTGTGTGTGCTGAGACAGATGGTCTGAACACTGCCAAGAATGTTTCCTGTGAGGTGCCTGGCATGATCAGTTTGTCCTGAAGAAGGCAAGAATTAAGCATAGGCTGGGCTGCGCTGGGGCAGTGAAATACTATGATGCTCTTTCATCAAGAATATTAAATCGTGGTCTGGTTCTTTGGCTGTATGACTAGAAAACAAGGTGAACAGTCCCTGAAAAGGAGCATACATGTATATGCAATCAAGTAATTTGGTTTTGAGGTAGCAAAAATTCTTACCATTGCATTATGAGAAAAGAGCGGAAGTACACTGTATAGGTCAAATTATCTAGTCCTGCAGTTTGACTTTATCATCTGCTACCAAAGCAAAATGCTCATGAGTAGTTTATTCATAGCTGAAGCCTTGCAGGATTTGTCTGTCTGTGGAAACACAGATACTAACATCCCTTCCTCCACAACTTTTTTTTTTTTTTTTTTTTTCCCAGTGGTGGTCGCAAAATTACTACAATTGGTAGAAATTTTAATGTGGTGGACAGTGTGATTATTTCAGATGACCAGAGATCAAACCTCACAGTAAGTCTAAATCTCCTTTATAATACCAGATAGAAGTCTCTTGATGGATTAGGTTTCATTCCTAAAGTTTTAGGAGATACCAATAATTGCCAAACACTTTCAGGCACATGTCAGTCACCCTACTGAAATAAATATGACCACCTATAGGATTACAGCTGTACACATTCTTAGTACAAAATCACAGATACACGTAAGCTACTCTCTGCATAATTCCCTGAACCTTTTTTTTATGGTCTAGAGAGTTATTCCAAATCTGTCCTTCTTGAGTCACCCCAGTCTCCACATATGGGTCTGTTGGAAGAGAGGGTTCTGTACTCTCTGATCCGAGAACCCAAATGATGCCACTGCCTCAGGAAGGGGCAGCAGACTGTAGCTGATGTTGGGATGAAACCTTTTCTCCAAGTATGTACAATGGTAGGCATCTTGTTGACCCTTTGCGACACAGAGGCCATAACACAGCAGCATCACCCAGTGGAGTAAACAATGATCCAATTCTACAATGACTGCAGCAACCCCACTCTCTCAGGAGTTAAGTTTGAGAGCTTCTCTTACTTGTCTCCTGAATTCAGGGGAAGGAAGGAGAAATGGCTGTCACAATTCCTGTCTCACTCACTGCAGGAAATAGTTACCTTAGCAGTGTGCAATCAGCCTTAAAGCAGTGTATGATAAATGTGCTTGAAGGCAGACACAGGCTCAACTCAGAAATTTTGCTGGGTGCTCTTCATGCAGCCCTGCCCCCATTGCAGAGAAGAGGTTTAGCAGATATCTCTGTGAAGTCAGGAAGACATTAAAATGAGTTTTGAGTGCCTCTGTTTGTAATTGTACCCACTTCTGAGTACTTAATGACTGTTACAATTTGCTATTGCATTTCTAGGTCTCTAGGTGTCCTGGCAATGCATCTGAATATCATTACTTAACACCAAGCCTGAGCCATGCAACTGAGGGGAAAGTTGTTGATATGATGTTAAAAGTGGATACTACCTTTATACCATGTGTCAAATTACACTATCACCCTGACCCAGTGTTCATTAACTACCAGCTGCACACTGAACTGGATCCTGATCTGGAATTAAAAATATATGTAAGTTTGAAAGTAATAATGTATAATGCCTTTTTTTAAATAGTGTTTTGGGATACTTTTTTTTCTTTCTGTATTTAGTGACTGGTTTTTTCTTAATTTTTTTTTTCTCTCTAGAAAGAAAATGATAACTTGAATATTTCTAAAACTGAGGTAGAGGTTTATCTGTCTTATATGACTGGTGCACAGACCAAAAAGATATGGTTCAGTGTCCAAAATATTACCAAAAAGCCAGACCGTAGCACCATACTGTGCAAATTCAAAAGGGAAGGAACAGAGAAGATTGACTTTTCCACAGTGAAAGTTTTTGTAAGTACAGTTCCCTTTTGTTGCAATTCAGTAAGTGTTTGAATGTTTATGCATGTGAAGCAAAATGTATCATTAATGCTCTCATCATGAATGTTCTCATCATGAATGTTCTTTATCAGGGTACAAGTGGATACATTTTCTTCTCTCTTGATACTCGGTAGTACAGTTTCCTTCTTCATATCTAAGCACGCCTGCCTGGCTTAGGTACTAGTGGCAATACTGAGTTCATTTTGTGTTTGGTTGCTGCAGTAGTGTCAGAGGTAGGCTTTGCAGTCCAAGGTGAGCTCCAGGAGCACAGTAGCTCGTCACACCTCTATCTGCAGACATCACTGTAACAGCATCACTGTCTCCAGAACCCCTCATCTTAGATCTGTAAGCAATCTGCTTCTGCAATATGTTCTTGAGGAAAAGGATTGTGTCCTCCCAGTCACTCTTTGCTACTAAAGCAGACAAGGATCTGTCTTTGGGATCACCACTGAGACAGAAGAGAAGGCATTTCTGGATGAAAAAGGGGGTGAAATTCAATGTGCATTGGGAAAGCTAAAATGCTTTGAGCACGTGGCACAAAGCCAAGCCCAAATATATGAACGTTAGCATGGATATCAGAGCTAAATTGCAGCTTAAGATATTTGCTCCCCGAGTAAGATGAAGATACAAATTTTTTAGAATGTAATCATCACCATTTAAGAGTGAGAAAAATTATGCCAGACTCTTATTGCAGTGTGTGGTGGTATAAAACTGAAATAACTCTATTGACTTCAAGGCATATGGCTCATAGTAAAGATTAACAAAGCTATTCTTGACTTTGTATCACTGTTAACTGATCCCCCATCTGTGGATCCTGCCGTCTGAGCCAGTTCTGGCATGGAAAAGCCTTTCTGAGTTTGGTGTTGCATTTAAATATTAATGTTGCCTTGCAATATCACATCCTTATCCCGCAGATTTCAAAGGAGTGACTGTCAGAGAAAGGTCACCGCTTCACTAAGGCAAATCAAATGCAGTAGTTATGATGTAACATTTTTAGTAAATGTTTTTCAAAATCTCATAAATAGATCATCATAAAGAAGTAGGACCACTGAAGAAAGGATAACGTGGGTATAAAAGATAATTTTGGTTCAAGTATAAATGTATATCTTGCCTTAGTTTTCTGGAAGAAAGAATATTGAGTGTGGGTTCAAAGACAGAATGATTAGTCTGAATAGAGTTGTCAGAGAAGAAAATGCCATTCTTGTGACGGAAGCAAGATTCAGATAGATCAAGCGGCTCAATACAGCAGGAACAGGATCATTGCTATCACAGCACTGATGAAGAACTGACACATGATATTGTAGGCTAAGTAGGAAAGATTTTAGATAAAAGTGCTTTCAGGAAACACACTGTTTAACTAGAGAGCAGCAAATATAAAACTACTATTTTACATAACAAAAAAAAAAAAACCAAACCAAACCAAAACCCTAGGCAAATGCAGGCTTGCTGATTTAATCCCAGCTCTAAAACTTTATAATGTATTTTGAATGAGGGACTCATGAAAGACCTGGAGGTAAGAGGAAAATGGGATAATTGTCAACTTCTTTTTAATGAAAGCAGATCATGCTAGATATCTTTGTTTTGTAACATAAGTGATTTCCTCAGCAACAGAAAAGTGGTAGATCACAAGTAACTGAAAGTCACTCAGGTGACTTAACATGCTGATTAAGAAAATAGTATGAATTAGAAAAACCGGATGCTGTGTATGGGGAGCTGACTCTGGGCAGTGTTGATGTTCATGCAGATACTATTTAATATCACTAGTGCCTTGAACACAAAAATAAGGCATGCACTAATAACATTTGCTGATGACATAAAGCTCAGAGGCATTACCAGTCCAGAGGAGGTTTTATAATGTCATGCGGAAAAATGAAGTTAATTTAGGAATAGCAATTGGATTAATTCAGGTGTATCTTATTTAGTTTATAATTCATAAGCAAGATAAAAGATAAGGAAAGAAATGGGGCTACTGCATAGGAAGGTTATGGTGAAGATTAATGACAGTCCAAACATGAGCAAAAATTTAAATGAATGCTTTGTCTCACGTTTCAAAAAACAAAGATGAGTAACAGAAATTTCTGCTTTAGGAATCTTGCAGTTGGACGTGAGTAGATAAAAGCAGGTGTATTAGTCACAGGATGGTTAATGTATTTAGCCACCAATGCATTTAAGCCTTGGAAAAGGCAAATGGGATCCTAGGAAGGCTCAGACCAAAATATAACTTTTTATAGGAACTGTGAAAACATAGAAACATCAGAAGAAAAGTAACATTTGCTGAAGGAAATAGATCTGCTTTGTCTTCTGTTCTTTGTATCCCCAAAAATATAAAGTCTGTGTCCTTCCAGCCCTGTGGGGTTTTTTTGCTTGCTTGTTTCTGTGTAGCTTGATGTGAATATCCCGTTGGCAGGCTGCAGCTGCCCTGGCTGCTCACCTCCTATGACAAGCCAATGATTGCAATCACCAGATCTCTGCCTTCCCTGCTGTAACCCAAAATAATTTCAGCCCAACCCTCCTTTTCAATTATCTCAAGCTCATTTCTATCCCTGGCACTTGGTGGTGTTCTTTTTATGTATCAAAGCATATTTTTACGTCTAGTCTGTTTATAGTCTTAGCTACCCTTTATTTATGTGCTTTCACAGTCCTCTTTGAGATCCTCCTTTGTGAAATTTCTTCTACCGTAATTATCAGTGGTGAATGCCTCAGTTTGGCATCTGGCAGACTTCAGCATTTTCATGTACTCCTAAGAATTAATGCCTGTCGTGCCTTTGACAAGCCCACTGGCTATTGGGGGATGTTGTCCATGTCTTGTGTGTTGCTTTTTT